AGTATCTTTTGTCTAGATTAAAAACTAGGGAGCTCCCAAACCCAGACCTTTCCTATCATTCAGTCTAAGAACTCTCTGTCCTTGGTCAAGAGTATCAGACTCTGTTTTGTCCCTGGCCTACTTTGAAGTTGCAACAGACAAACTCTGTGTCAGCTCAGAAATCAAAGGGACAAGAGAACTAACATTTTTCATCTCTTTAGTGGAACAATGTCTACAGTGAGCAGGTGGGAGGAGGAAGCAGAGGCCAGGACTAAGAGCTGGTCACTTCTACCATCTGTTCCCAGGCCCTTGTCCTGGCCTGACTCTACCAGGGACTCACAATATGAGTGTCCAAACAGATCAAAAGCAGAAACAGGGAGCCATCACCCCCCACAGGAAGGGCTCTGGTGCTGACCAGCTCTTGCATTCCTACATACTCCTTGGTTCCAGCAATACCACCTGAGAGAGCAAGCATTTCCCCTCCCACCAAGTTTAAGGTGAGTCAATTGAGTGCTGAGGTACATGCTGAAGACCTTAACACTTGAGTATGGCAGAGTCAGAACAAGACCTCCTGTCATCTGAGCTGGCCAGGGGCTATACCCCTGCTGCTGGCTCATTTCAAGTGTCATTGTACCGGTGCTAAGAGATACAGGTATCCATGAATTGACCACAGAGCTGACCCTACTCCTGACCTCATGTCCCACAGGTGAGTGAGGCACCTGTGGCCCAGCCAAGACTTTGATGTTGATCTTGTTTATGCTCAAACTCAGTCATGTCTAAGAAAAGTTGCTGGCTGAGACTTGTCACTATGTAGCCAGGCACAGCCTGACTACACAGATAGTAAAGCATTGTGGGAAGAGGACTTACCCCACACCTCTCCATACCCGGCTACCCAAACCTTGCCCCACAGCTATGGGAGGTCAATCAGCCACACAGTCACCAGTTCATGTACAGATCCCTCATTTCCCAATCCCACAATACTTCCTGGAGACCCCATCCTTCCACAACCCAGGCTGGACCTGCTGGAATATGGTGGGGGAGTCAGCAGGAGGGCAGTTTCTGGAGAGGGGCCTTGACTGAGTGCAAGGATAATGGTGTGTGTGCCTGAGAAGCCTCTGCCAAGAGTGTAGTGACCCCAGGGAGGGGGTGCTTCTTTTATTGGCTGAATCATAGGGGAAGGTCTCATGGAAGAGAATAAAATGGCTCTGGGGAGGTAGGAGAACAAAAGGCATTGTGAAGTCATCAGCCTTCTCCAAGCATGGAGAGTCGCCTGAGCTACTGGACCAGCAGGAGCTGAAGGGCCTCTTTGTTGACTGCAGATGAGGTCAGAGGCAATGAATTGATACAACTCCAGCAGGTCCAGTGTACACACACACTGTACACACAGTGTATACATTTTTGTCCTTAGCAAATAGGAGATAAAATCCAGGAAGAGGAGAGTGAGACATTTTATTTCCATTTCATTTCATGTTTAGAGGGAGAGAATGAATGACAAATTTGGATAGGCAGGTTGAAAAAATGAGACTAAACAAAAAGTTTAGAATAAAACAGACTCTCCCACATAAGCACAGATCCACTGGCTGTCTCTGGGCCCACCCAGGAAGCAAACCCTCCCTGGCTACCTCAGGAGGTCACTGCACCCCCAGCACATCCAGGCTGGTCATTACCTGATACAGCCACTCTAGACATCAGATTCCTTATGTTTTATGTCCATTTGTCGGTGAGGAAAGATCATCCCAAGAGGATGATCCTAAGGCTCATGCATATGCTTGATGCTGTTCCACTCATAGACTGTAATTGAGCCACCGGGTCCTGCAGATCCCTCGCAGCCTGGAGGGTAGGTGTGCTCGTGCCTGCTGCTCCCACATGGGTGCATTCCATCTGTGTGCTGGGGCCAAAGAGCTAGTGGAGGCAATTTTTGATGGAATCCTCTTGCGTCACAAGCAAGAAAAGTTTTTAATCAAAATAAATGTATAAAACCCAAGAAATATAAACTTGGCCCAAATCCTGCTCCCTTGGATAAAGGTCTTGAGAGAAGGTTGAGGAAGACTCAGCAGCTTCATTAGAGAAAGCAAGGCACGGAGTCGGGGGGGGGGAGGGAATGCGGGGGAGAGTGGAGGCAGAGCAGACACAGGGGTTTTGCCAAGGTGAACTCCGCTTGACTCCTGCCCCTAAGTGGTGTGAGTCCACTGCCCTGAAACATCAGTTAGTTAATTCTGAAAAACCAGAGACAAAAGGAGTGGATTTGAGCTGCATGGTTTCATAGCCTTGTTCTGCCTCCAGCAGAAATGCTGTAACCCCCACACCCCCAGACGCTGGGGAGTAGAACTCAGCTCCAGCAGAGTGTGCACCTTTAAATGCAATTGGCCTCACTCTCACCCAACACCACATTTAAAACAGGCACACCTATTTTTAAAAATGTATACAGTAAAATGTATACAACTTATCACCTTAGCTGTTTATAAGGGTATAGTTCAAGACATTCACATTGTTGTGCAAACCAATCTCCAGAATCTTTTCATCGTGAAAACTGAAACTCTGCATTTATTAAATAATTTCCCACTAGAATGCAAACTAGTACAACCACTATGGAAAACTGTTTGGAGGTTTCTCAAACTGCTAAACATGGAGCTTCCCTATGACCTAGCAATCCCACTCCTAGGTATCTACCCAAAAGACACAAAAACACTGATTGAAAAAGATACT